CGGAAAGTCCCGTGTGTGCCCCCCCCCCCGGTGGGGGCCTGTCCCTGTCCTTGTCACCCACCCGTGGGAGGTGGCTCTGCCTCGTCCCTGCCGGGCTGTGACACGTGTGCGGGCACGGGGGTGCACGCGTGTGCACGCAGGCGTGTCTGCACGTGTGTGTGTCTGAGTGTGCAAGAGCCTGCGCCCGCCCTGTCGGCGTCTGTCCCTGTGTCCGTCTGTCCTGGTGTCCATCTACTTGTGTCCAACTGTCCCGCTGCTCGTGTGTTTGTCCCCACGTGTGACCATGTCCCGATGCCCGTGTCCGGGTGGGTGTCCTGGTGTCTGGCAGTCCAGGTGTGTGCCCCTGTGTCCATGTCCCTGTCTGTGTGTCCGTCCCTGTGTCCGTGTGTCACCCACGTGTCTGTCCTGGTGTCCCTTTGTCCATGTGCCTCTGCACCCTGGTGTCTGTCCCAGTGTCTGTCCTGCTGTCTCTCTGTCTGTCCCAGGGCCTGCCTGTGTGTCCGTCCTCATTTCCCTTCTGTCCCCATGTCCTGGAGTCTATCCTTCTGTCCGTGTGTCTGTCCCCTTGTCCCAGGGTCTGTCTGTGTGTCCATCCTTGTGTCTGTGTGTCTGTCCCTGTGTCCTGGGGTCTGTCCGTGTGTCTGTTCTTGTGTCTGCGTGTCCGTCCTTGTGTCCATGTGTCTGTCCATCTGTCCTGGGGTCTGTCCCTGTGTCCGTTCTTGTGTCTGTCCCTGTGTCCAGAGTCTGTCCGTGTGTCCGTCCTTGTGTCTGTGTGTCTGTCCCTGTGCCCAGGGTCTGTCCGTGTGTCCGTCCTTGCGTCCGTGTGTCTGTCCCTGTGCCCAGGGTCTGTCTGTGTGTCCGTCCTTGCGTCCGCGTGTCTGTCCCTGTGCCCAAGGTCTGTCCGTGTGTCTGTCCCTGTGCCCTGGGTGCATCCATGTGTCTGTCCTTGTGTCTGCATGTCTGTCCCTGTGCCCAGGGTCTGTCCGCGTGTCCGTCCTCTGCATCCATGTGTCCATCCCCGTCTCCTAGCGCATGGTCCCA